GACGGCACTGCCAAGCCCCATACTCTGAGCCAATCCGCGCCCTCCAGCACGTCATATTTTGCCTTAAGTCTGGGCCGTGTCCCGCTTGTCGCCCTTTGCAACCCCCAGCTTCACAGAGGATGCGACAATCCGAGCGACAAACCGAATGCATAAATGGACACGCCGGAAATAACCGCGCCGTCTGAGAACGCGACGAATAAGAAGCGTAGACGACCAATTAATGGTATGTGCTATGGACCCTGCCGTCTTCTAATACTGCGGTACCTGAGCTAACGGCGCTCGGATAGCCTGTACTACTTGTCGCGCGAGAAAGGTAGGCGTTCGCGTTTCGTTGCTTTTATCGTTATTTTTTTTTCCTTTTGGCTAGTTTGCACTGTGGTGCAGTTTGCGGCGACGTGCATGGAAAGCATAAGAGTAACCACTACGCAGTTGGTTGTGTAGTGGCATGACCCAACCATCTCATCCTAGCATTATAAAAAAACCAAAGAGTAAATTAACATCTATGCGTTAACACAGCTAACAGTCCCACAGGTCAAGTGCGATGAGCGACCAAACGGCTGTCTGAACTGCGAGAGGCTTCAGTTGGATTGTGTCCAGAATGGCGGTGTATCGGCAGCAGCAAAAAGACCAAACTCAGGTTACGAACCAGTAGTCGGAATCAAGAGGAAACGGACCTTCCGGTCTTGTATTCCTTGTAGAGATTCAAAGGTCAAATGTTCTGGCGAACGACCGACCTGCACAAGGTGCCAACAACGCCGGACAACCTGCATCTACGATGCGGAGCACAACGAGCCAGCTTGGGTGCAGACTATCAGCACTCCTGCAATAAGTTCACAGGAAAACTCAGTAATGATATCCCCTCATGGCCCACAGCCTTCTCCGATCAGCCTTAACATGCTCGGTTCAGTTTTGGGCAATGATACTGCTGTACCTGGGTGTCCACCTGGGCTGTTATGGTAAGTCTGAATACTTTCAAGTGGCGCTACATTGTACTGAAAGGAGCAAAAGGTTATTCACAAAACAACTACCGCCTAGGAACAAGCTTCATGCTTTGCTGGATGCGTATTTCAATAATGTTCATCCCATCCGAGTCTTCGCGTTCGAGCATAAACCGTCTTTTATTCGAATGTTGGACGAGGGCCAGCTGGTAGACTCATCCGATCAGGCGCTCTTGCACATGATGTGTGCATTAGGTGCTCGGTTCTATGCCCTGGACTATCATGAGTCGTACTCCCCTTTGACCAAAGATTTGATACAGTCGGCTGGAACCCAGTGGGCCAAGATTGCTGAAGAGATGTTCTTTGCTGACTACAGTACCATCTCAATTACTAAACTCAAAGTTCTGGTCCTCCTTCACGATCACGAAGCAAGGACCGGTAACTATGCTGGGTCCTTTCTTCTCACCGGTCTAGTTATACGTATGGCGCATGCTTTGCAATTGAACAACGAGATATCGCCAGACGTACTTTGCAAAGAAATCGGAGGAAGCCCGAACGAGGTATCTGTCAGGGAGTCTCGGAGAAGATTGATGTGGGCATGTTACATGATCGATGTCTGGGCTGGTAGTGGCGTCGACCATCTCACTATACTCAATGAAAAAGACCTGAAGATTCAGCTTCCTTGCAACGAGCGACAGTTCTCACTACAGATACCATGTATTACAGAACGGCTCGAGAAAGGCACATTGCTGGATTTCCTCGCCAAGGAAGACATTCCAGAGAAACCAAGCGACAATCTGGGCATGGCAGCATACTATGTGCGTATTGTTAGTATATGGCGAAGAGTGCTACGGTAAGTCATAGTATGTATGATTTCTTGTCCAATTGCAGTGCTAATTTTGCATAGCTTCGTAAAGCACATGGACGAAGAGCAACCGCCTTGGCTCCCAGGCTCAGGCTTCGCAATATTGATCCAAGATATACATTTGTGGAGACAAAGCCTGCCTTCTTGGCTAGACTTTTCGGCAGACAACATCTACATCCGACGAGAAACCCACCAGCTAGGTGCTCTCCTCCTTATCCATTGCATGTATCACCACGTCATGTGTGACGTGCATCGAATCGCTCTCCCTGACCTTTTCAAGAACCAGGAACCGTTTGTCTTTCCTCTGGACCAACAGGCCTTTGTGGGTCATCTACAGGATGTCTGCTTCGAGCATGCACAGCGCATGTCAGTGCTAGTCTCACATATCCTCCAGCATGGTGTTAAGCATTTTGCGGACTCGATATTGCCTTCATTCGTCTATAACAGCAACAGGATCATGCTCTACTACATTGCTAGAATCTTGGATGTATCCAAACCCGACACTGGAACTGTGATTGCACGTACCGTCGAGTTGGTACAGCATAACAACCGGGCGCTGCGAGATATGTCACTTATCTATCCCCTTGCTGAGTCCTTGTGTATCACTTCGGAGCGGTGGCTGGAGACTGTGCGTGACAGTCTTGCTCGTGGGCATTCGGCCGACTACATTGCACCCCAAGACTCGTCTGAGAACGAAGCGCGCCGCATTGTTGGAGCTCCCGCGCCGACAGAAGGCACGCCACGGCAGCGAAACACCGCTGTCTCCATGATACCCCCTGTAGAAGAGATATTATCAGCAACTTCGCCGTCCACTCTTCGGACCGCCACTACTCGCTATCCATTTACGGCACTTGCTCCGGACGAGTCATCGTCTACAGCAAGTAATGGCACGAATTCGCAAACAGAGCACCGGATTGAACCAATGTACTCGTCTCCCAGTGCGCCTAATTCGCTTGAGCAGCCCATGTTCAATCTTGATGACCTGCAAAATTTCTTTGGATGGGAAGCGAGTGACGATGAGAATGTTCAGTCGACGGGCTTCGAGGCCTTTGGGCCCTTGGGATGGACGAACAATTTCTCCATAATGTGACGAGGTGGAATAGGAGTGCATGCGAACCTGATATGTTCTTTCTGGGTAGTTGTTTGAGACCAACCAGGATCAAGTAATCAACATTGGTACTGCCTTGGCCTTTGATCCATAGGTTTGACCACTGTATTATTTCTATAGAGTTGCCAAAGATGGACAAATGATATAATAGCCAATAACCGGTAGATCGGTGTAAGTATTGTATCTAGGGTGAAACTGAGAGGAGGAAATAAACCTTAAGAGTCTCAGTTCCCTGCATGATGTCCAAGGTGAATACCAGATACGGTCCAGACTTCGTAGGTGAAACCTCCGTTGCGCATGTGGTAAGACTAGCAAGCTACCCCTGTGCTTAGCGGAGATCTCCGGCACTAGTAAAGTAACCCTGGCCAACGGTCGATTCCACTTTCCCCCTCGAATCGCTCTCCATGAAGCTGCGACTTCGCGAGGATACCACTTTCACGACGTTACGACCTATTGACGAATATTTTGCAAACCTCACTCTCTTTCTTGTCTTCTTGAACTGCTAGAGCTTCGTCTGCTCGGTCTAGATTGGCTCAATATCATCTGCGACAGGACAGAGACTCATCGATTCGCCTCCGCTCTCACACGTCAAAGTTCACTGCATCTGCAAGTTCAACTACAAATCCTGCCAAGTTCATACTTTAGAAGAGAGCCACATAAAATCTTTGTTTGTTCGCAATGCCTGAGACAACAAAGGTAGTGCCCCTCACCTGCCATGGTCACTCAAGACCTGTCCCGCACATCCACTTCTCGTCTCTCTTGGACGAAGACCAATACTATATTATATCAGCATGCAAGGACAATAATCCCATGCTTCGAGATGGTATAACAGGTGACTGGATTGGCACGTTTCTGGGCCACAAGGGCGCAGTTTGGCAAGCGCGGCTGTCTTCAAACGCTTCGCTGGCAGCCACAGCTTCGGCGGATTTCTCTGCGTACGCATGCTCCTCTGTTGTTTTGCAACATTACTAACGGTTCATAGAAAAGTCTGGGATACCCATACTGGCGAAGCGCTACACACCCTCGCCCACAATCACATTGTCCGTGCGGTCGCGTTCCCTAATCAACCTCACCCTCAGATCCTTGCGACCGGTGGAATGGAAAAGAAGCTGCGGATATACGACCTGTCACGCAGCGACGCGACCAGCTTTGAGATTGGCGCTGGCGTTCATACAGGGACCATCAAGTCGATAGTGTGGACTTCGGATCCTAACGTCATAATTACAGCATCGGAGGACAAGAAGATCCGGTGGTGGGATCTGCGACAGGAGTCGACCATTGGAGAGCACGCGGTAGAGGGCACTGTGGGTTCATGCGAGTTGGATAACACCTCTTCGGATGGAATATTGAGCGTAGCTGCTGGAAACAGCGCCTACTTTTTCAACAGTCAACTGCCGGGCTCGCTCATCAAAAGCGTCAAGACACCATACGAACTCGCCAGTGTAGCACTGCACAACGGAGAGAGGAAGTTTGTTACTGGTGGTAGCAATCAGAATGACACGTGGGTCAGAGTGTGGGACTTTGATGAGGAGAAGGAGTTGGAGACGAACAAGGGACACCATGGACCTATTTGGTCGGCGAGCTTCTCGCCCGACGGAAAGCTCTATGCGACGGGCAGTGAGGATGGAACAGTCAAGCTCTGGAAGTTTACGACAGGACCATACGGCCTGTGGAAGTAGAGATCAAGTCCACAGCTTGGGTTGCTCGTTGTGTCGTGCATATTGTAAATGACGACAGTAGTCGAAAGGCTCAGTTTATACCACCTGAAAATAGTAAATACGATGAAGCAGAATCAACATTACAAAGCGAACTACCACACAATTAACCCCATCGCAATGAAAGCTGGCCCAAGACCAATACCACATATGCAAACACCTTTGTTTTTTTTAAACACAGCAAGCAACGTCAACAAACATGCCAGACGTCGGAAGAGCTACCCCCAACCACGGCAACTGTAACCGGAGATACCCGATTCAACATTGCCGAAAAAGGATCGACACCAATGGCGACATGCAGCAACCCACATGATACTACGACCCCAGCCGCCCCCCCCAGCCCATTGATTGTGCAACCTCTCAACATGGCAACTGCCCGCTTCCCCCAGATAAGATAGTAGATATGACGATAACCAAGAATCCTACGTAGCTGTTTACGCGCCAAGAGTTGGAGACTACTCTCCCCCCCTCCCGTTGTCGGCCGAAAAGTTAGGTATATAAAGTGAAAAGGTTTTTGGGGGTTTTTTTTTTGTTTTTGCTGTACAGAGAAGGATTTTGTACGTACTACCGCTATTAGTGTGTTTTTCACCGAGTTTAGCTTTTGTTGGGTTGGTATTTACTTTAGTAACACCTCCAAATTGTTGACGTTGGGGGGTTTTTTTTTTGCTCAGTTAAGGCCTCTCATATCGCCAGCCTTGTACCATCCTCCCTTCCCCTCTTCTTTGTTTTGTTTGAGCCCACAAAGAATTCTTACAAGGGGTTTTTTATTTTTTTATTTTTTCCGGTTGAAGCGAAAATGGGGGAAAAGAAGGAAGATCAAGTGTCGCCTGTGCGCGAGCCCAGTCTGGAAGGAGGGGAAATCAGTGCGGAGAAGCAGATGCAAGATATCGGTGCGGATTTGTATCTTGAGGTTCAGCAGTATTCGCGAGAGGAGTTGGAGGCGGAGAGGAAGGTTGTGTTGAGGAAGATTGATTGGGTTATCATGCCCATGGTAAGTTTTCTTCCCTCTTCCCTCTTCCCGCTTCTCCTCTTTCTCTATTGATGAATGAGGCGCATGAATGAGAAGAACAAGCTGACAAGACGAAAGATTTGCATGACCTACATGATCCAATTCCTTGACAAACTCAGCCTCAACTACGCAAACGCCTACACCCTCACCCCCGATCTCGGGCTCCAAGGAAACCGCTACAGCTGGGTGGCCGCAATCTTCAACTTCGGCTACTTATTCTGGGCCTTGCCCTCAAACTACCTCATCCAGCGGCTCCCAGTATCAAAATACACAGGGTCTATGATTCTCATCTGGTCGCTCCTCCTATGCTGCCATGTCGCCGCGAAAAACTACGCAGGAATGCTCGCGCTCCGTTTCCTGCTAGGCATGTTCGAAGCCTCCATCTCGCCCGCCATCATGAATATAGTGAGTATGTTCTACACGCGCGCCGAGCAACCGCTCCGCATGTGCATTTTCCTCGCCTTCAACGGCATCGCTACCATGGTCGGCGCTTTACTCGGCTACGGCCTGGGTCACGCGCACTCCCCCCATATCAAAACCTGGCAGCTCATCTTCCTTGTCATTGGATTGATGAATTTCGTCTGGTCCTGGGTCTTCCTAGCCGTTATGCCGGATAGTCCCGCTACGGCCAAGTTCTTGACGCATAAAGAGAGGATTGTGGCGATTGATCGGGTGGCGGGGAATATGATTGGGGTTAAGACGAAGAAGTTTCATGCGAAGCAGGCGGTGGAGGCGGTACTCGATTTCAAGGTTTTGTGTATTGCGTTGATTGGGTTGGGGTGCGGTGTTATCAATGGCGGTGTGTCGAATTTCTCGTCTTCGCTCCTGCGTGGGTTTGGGTTCAGTGGCATTTATGCTACGCTCTTGCAACTTCCCACGGGTGCTATCGAGTTCGTTATCGTGCCGCTGTGCGGGCTGGCGGCGGGATACTTTAAGAATACGCGATGTCTTATCCTCGCTATTGTTTGTCTGCCGCCGCTGGGAGGACTCCTGGGTATTCGACTTACGCCATTGTCTCAACGCTGGAGCCTCGTCGGATGCACATGGTTGCAGTACCTTATTGGTGCTCCTGTCATTCTGTCGTGGAATCTGCTCACAACGAATATCGCCGGCCATACGAAGCGCAGTACGGCGAATGGAATGTGGTTTGTATTTTACGCCGCGGGGAATATCGCTGGAGCGAACATCTTTCTTGCAAGGGAGGCGCCGAGGTATTTCTCAGCCCTTACGGGTCTGATTGTGTGTTATTGCGCCATGATACTTGTGGCGGGCGTGCTGGCCGCGTGGATGACATGGCAGAACAAGAAGAAGGATCGCCTGTGGGGGGCTGGCGAAGATGAACAGGCGGTTATGGATGGGTTTAGTGATTTGACGGATATCCAGGCGAAGCATTTTAGGTATGCTATTTAAATGCGTGGTTAGGAAAGCCATAGACGATAGATGTTTGAGAGACTTGGATTGCAATGATAAGTCTGTGGGTGACAGGAGGAAATATGTATACCCTATCTATGACAAAGAAAGATTATCTACGTATCCGCAACATGAAGCGCATCCAATTCCCGTGCCAAATCTTCCTCACTGCTAGGCAAAAACCCAATCCCCTCACACCCTCCCCGCTCATCAAACTCAACCCCAAGTATCTCCCCCGCCACCCACTGCGCAGTCCTCGCATGTAAACTTGGTCTTACAGACCCCTCTTTCCTTTCCCCACCATACACTTGGCTCTTCCCCTGCGCAAGCGCCTGATAAACAACCAATTGATCGCGTAGATACTCGTCCACACAGCCACCATGTTCGATCTCCGCTAGCAAATTATCCGACACCGTTTTCACAATGTTAGCAACGACTTGTTGCGGCTGTTGACCTGCTCGTACGCCCCGATCGTACAGCCAGTCGCGACCTAATTTCATGCCGGTGGATGCGGTGGCTACTAAGAGGAGATAGTACCTCTTCTCATGGTGCGAGTCTTCAAATGTGATTTGTACATCTGACTCGTTGGAAGCGAAGAAGCGGGATTGGCGACGCTCAAACATTACATTTAGTTCTTCACGGAAGTGTCGCTCGGTGCTCTTGGGGGCGATGATGGTGGCTGTTACTCGTCCCACTTTGCCCCTGTTTATTAGTTGGAAAGATGGTAACTGCCTGGTCAAAGGGGTGACGGTGTACGTAACGCTGCCGAGACTAGACGTGCCTTGAGACCAGCCTCTTGAATGTAGGTCGGTGGCGATGTGTGGTATACCGATGAGCTCTAGTGTTGGTAGTAGAACTTGGGTAATGTAGTCGCATGAGGGTGAATTGGATACGTTTGTTCCTCCTGTGATTTGAACGCGTAGTGGTGAGGGGGTGCCTGAGAAGAGGAGATAGGGGAGTATGGCCTGTAGAACGAGGTTGACACTTCCGGGTGTGGACTGTTTTATGCGGACTTCTCCTGTAGAAAGAATTGTGCTTATTCCGCCGGTGATATTTGGAGAAAAGGTAATTTCCTTGCTCTTTAATTCTGCGCCCGTAACATGCGCGTTGGAGGCTTCACCAAGCCATTGCACGCTAGTCAAGTGTTGAGCCTTGAGACCACCACCGCCTGAACGTCTTGCACGAATGTTATTAATACTTATTGGCTTCTTGGTGAGGGCAGAGAGACCAAGGGCGATCCGGACTAATTGGCCTCCACCTTCGAGAGTCGCTCCGTGCAGCTCAATCGGTGGTGGGGATCCAGGAACTGAAGCCATGGTGAGATATGAATTGCGATGATTGTACTTGGAGGATAGTGAAGAAAACCGCAAGAATGTCAATTGTCTTCTTAAAATAGAGAAGCCGCTCATGTCTTGTACATGGCGGGCCTTGTGCTTCTTGCTTGCATGAGTGAAGATGAGTCAACCCGCACAGCGCCCATGACTGTGGCTGTGGGTGTATCAGCTACCAACGGTCGATACAGCACTGCCTAGTCGTTATTTGTGCCTTGCGCATATTTACCATAGACACATGGGTATCTGAATGAAACAAAAGTGTTTGTCTGCTGTCGGTAATCAAATGTAGTAGCCGCGGCACGTGTCGGCGTAAGATCGACGCGGCGGTCCTGTCGTCATCAGCGACGCCGAACTTTTGACCAGCGTCTCCGAAGTCGTCCCCTCCCACGCCAGCCCATCCACCGCCATGACGAATACCTTGATATCGCTCCAAATTGCCCTCAGAACCCGGTAGTCGTCTCGTCTACCTGTCTCAAGCCATGCGCGGCCCGCTGGCTTTCTCCACAAAAGCCTGGCATGGACCTGGCAACGGAGCTCTCTTCTCACAGATACAGTTGCGCATCTCGACAATCAAGCCAACGTTATCAAGATCAATCGCTACGAAGCCGACACCCAATGCCTCGACCGTGAGAGGCGCGCCGAATCTGACCCGTCATCTCGCACCCTCCCTGTCTCGATTCGCAACTGCGGGGACTATCCGCCACAATGGCCTACAACACCCAATCCGACTATTCAATGCGTCCCGACATCTATCTGAAGTATCGGGAAACGCCAAAATCACCAAACAACGCAAATCTTACAAGGATGAAATCAAGGAAAAAGGCATTGTGGATGTCGAGGAACATGACGGCGAAGCAGAGGCTGAGCAGGGCTTTGCAAAGTCCGAAAAGGCAGCTCAAGCCAAGCAGGTCAATCTTAGTGCGAAACTCAGCAAGGACGGCTCTGGATCTGGAGGCACACCCGGCGGCATGAAGGAAATCTGGCGGCTCATCAGCATTGCGCGGCCTGAATTAGGCTCCCTCTCATGGGCATTCATATTCTTACTCGTTGGATCCGGCATCTCATTATCGGTACCTTTCTCTATTGGCAAAATCCTGGACGCTGCAACTTCGACGGAAAACACCAATGGCTTGCTCTTTGGCATGACCCCCTCGCTATTCTACTTTGCACTCGCTGGCGTCTTGACTACTGGTGCTGCATTCAACTTTGGTCGTATCATCATTCTGCGAATTGTCGGAGAGCGCATTGTCGCCCGCCTGCGATCACAGCTCTACCGCAAGACGTTTATTCAGAATGCTGAGTTCTTCGACGCGAACAGAGTTGGAGATCTTATCTCTCGCCTTGGCTCAGATACCATCATTGTTGGAAAGAGTATCACACAGAACTTGTCCGATGGTCTGCGTGCGCTCGTCAGTGGTGCGGCTGGTTTTGCCATGATGGGTTTCGTCAGTCTAAAGCTTACCGGTATTCTTGCTTTGATCGCTCCTCCAGTGGCCCTCGTCGCATTCTTCAGTGGTAGATCTCTACGGAATCTAAGTCGCAAAATTCAGAAGAATCTAGGTACTCTAACCAAGATTGCCGAGGAAAGGTTAGGCAACGTCAGGACTAGTCAAGCATTTGCTGGTGAAGTCCAAGAAGCCTCCCGCTACAACCGTCAGATCAAGAGAATATTCGCCCTGGGAAAGAAGGAGGCTGTGGTTGCTGCGAGCTTTTACGGAAGTACAGGTCTTATGGGCAACTTGACCATCATCACTATCCTCTATGCGGGCAGCAATATGGTTAAGAACGGTGTCATCTCGATTGGTGAGCTATCATCATTCCTGATGTACACTGTGTATGCTGGTTCCAGTATGGTTGGGTTGTCTGGTTTCTACGGCGAAATGATGAAGGGCGTCGGCGCTGCCAGTCGTCTGTTTGAGCTTCAAGATCGCAACCCGACAATCTCGCCAACCAAGGGTCTACCTGTCAGGTCCGCACGTGGTCCTATCGAATTCAAGGACGTATCATTCAGCTACCCCACCCGGCCGGCAGTCTCCATTTTCAAGGACCTGAACTTTAAGATTGAGCAGGGCACCAACGTGGCTATTGTCGCACCTAGCGGAGCTGGAAAGTCGACTGTTGCTAGCCTAATTTTGCGCTTCTATGTTCCAACCTCGGGTGTTATTACTATTGATGGAAGAGATATTACTACCCTGAACGCGAAACAACTGAGGAGAAAGATTGGCTACGTGGGACAAGAACCTGTTCTCTTCTCTGGAACCATTGCTGAGAACATTGCCTATGGTGTGCCCAATGCCACCCGTGCTGAGATCATTGCAGCGGCCCGAAAGGCCAACTGCCAGTTCATCAGTGATTTCGTAAGTACAGAATCTCATTTTTTTCTAGGTCTTTCGCTGACTAGCATAGCCCGATGGTCTTGAAACACATGTCGGCGCCCGAGGCACACAGCTTTCGGGAGGCCAGAAACAGCGCATTGCCATTGCACGGGCTTTGATCAAGAAGCCCGACATTTTGATCCTCGATGAAGCAACAAGTGCTCTGGACGCCGAGTCAGAGACGCTTGTCAACCAGGCGCTAAACAAGCTCCTCCAAGAGAACAACACAACCATCAGCATTGCTCATCGTCTCTCTACTATCAAGCGTTCCGATCGTATTATCTGCATTGATTCGGATGGCAGGGTCGCCGAAGAGGGCACTTATGAGCAGCTTAGCTCCAACCCTGAAGGTGCATTCAACAAGCTCATGGAATGGCAAATGAGCGGTGGTGACATTCCTACCCGGGAAATTAAGAGTTCAAAGCCAACTGAGGAGGAGGAGATTGAGCGGGAGCTTGAGGAAGAAAAGGACGAGGCTGTGGCTCGCAAACATGAGTAGACGGATTGTCATGTTCCAATGTTATACTGGAGGAATGACGCTGGTGATGGGAAGGCTTCTTCAGTGTTTTCATGAAGCAAGCAGGAGGTTTCCCGTGAGCTTGTCTCAAAAGACTCTAAGCGGTAGCTGGGCCCACCAGCCATACTGGGCCTCAACGCCAGTACCAATCTCGGGGTTTCGAGACTTGATGTGTAGGAATATAAGTTTGGCATGAGAGGCCCAACGAGTAATGGGCAATCGCTTGCTGCATATTTTGGAGTTGTCATTGTACATTACCCGCCGATTATTTTGGCGGCAACAACCTTTATAACAACATTGTCTTGTTGAAGCTCGCACATGCGAGTGTCGGGTGTAATTGAACATTATTCTCCTCTCATGGTTGCTTCTTCAGGAAAACTATGCCACTTCAGCATATCCTTAGAAACCCTCAACAGTGAGACGATACTACAAGCAACAGGATGCGGACCATGCTACATGCATTATGATGACGAGTCTAGGCCTCTAGCCAATATACACGTTTGCAATGGCTTGCTCTCTCAGCATGTCGCATTAAGCAGAACCTATCCGCTAGCCCCCTTAGCCCCCCTAGCCCTGTGAATCCGCCCCGCCCTTGCCCTGCACTCCCATGACTTAATCAGGTACTAGCACCACTTAGATGGAAGCACCTCATAGCATGACACCCGAATTAGTCTCGAAACCAATCCCTCTAGTCTGTATTTAATAAGAAAAGGGCATCATGTCTCTCTATCGCAATATTGACGTCATGTATACTAATTACTCAGTATCACCCTGTCAGACACGCTCTTTAGCCCAGTGACGCGAAGGGAAATGTATAACGCTTTCCTAATCACATATAATGACCCCCTTGTCTCGCTTGAGATAGAAGATAAGCGCCAGCAACTTCTGGTAACTTTTCCCAAATGCTCAAAACCTCACTCCAAACTCCTCTCCGCCTCACCACAACCTCCTTTTCATCCCGCTCATCGCTCGCCAAACCAGTTACCACACGCGTCTATCTCGTTACGCGGAGTTTCCAGAGTAGCCGTACTGCATTGTTGCCGCAGAGTCAGAAGAAAATGGAAGGATATAAGAAAGTAGGAAATAGAGAGGATGCGCCGCCGAAACATGAAATGGTGTATTTCCCCGGTTTGATGAGTGAGAAGCGGAGTTTTGGGGATTTTAGAACGGTGTTGCATACGGGGCTTTACAGTTAGTTCTCCCTTCCATACTTATTCCTTCCTTCCAAGATAATTAGATGCTAACACACAACAACCAGGCCAGATCGTCGCCATGGAAGTTCCAGTGAACGGCGAAATAGGTGATGAAGTACACCTGGTCGATCAAATCCTACTATTCACATCTGGGCGGGGACTAGCGACCGTGGCGGGAAAAGAGCAAGAGGTAGCAGCGGGAGATGTGGTTGTTGTGCCTGCGGGGACACAGCATCAGTTTGTGACGCGGGGGGAGCAGCCGCTAGAGCTGATTACAGTGTATTCACCTGCAGAGCATTTGCCGAGTAGTGTACATAAGAATAAGGAGGAGGGGGATAAAGCGGAGGAGGATGGGGTAGATGAGGCGCCTGGGTGGGCGTTGAGGGGGAAGGAGGAGAATGAGAAGGAGGGTTTGGTTAGGGAGAGTGGGAAGTATTAGGGAAGGGGTTGAGTTGGATGAATTGAATGGATTTGGTTAATGAGAGATGCGTGTTGCTCAGGATTGAACGTTTGTTACTCAGGATGGAATGGGCGTCAAGATAAATGAAGCAGAATTGGCAATCCAAACAGACTAGCATCTTGAACGGTGATATTGCAGTAATTTGCGTGCAAGAGATAAAGTTAACAAGACCGATTTCGTCAGTTAGTAATAAGTTGGTAATAAGTTGATGCCTCCGTGTAACACTCTGAACAGCTCAAGGTGAGACTACTTTGTTGCTGCCATGATTAGCTATTCCAAGACACGCATTTTGCTTAATGAGCAAAGATGAGCAATTGGCGAAAGATGTGCGTATGTTTGCATCATCCAGTGGAGGGGAAATCCCATAGCGTCATGAAGATGTCGTCTCAAGAGATTCAGGCCTCCACATTCCGGTGGCGAACGGAAAGGTTGGTCTGGGCCCGCTAACAAAACCGTTCTTCTCAACGCTCTTTCGATTTGGCGGAACACAACGCATAACGAGGTTAAACCCTGTGCCTGTAGGCCGACACAACCACAGCGTTATACAGTCAGCCCGTTGCAACGCCAGTCTCGCTAGGTGGGAAAGGCTACGCTCGTTAAGTTTGGCGGGCTAGGGTGTCTGGGTAATATCATATCCTGACAAGGTAAAGCTGAGGATGGACGTGGGTGGCGGCTCAACGACGTAACGATGCTCCAGCGGCAAGACGCAATCATTCCGCAATGGGATGGATGCGGTACATGTGGGGGAGAGGGCTGATGGAGTTGCAGGCTTCAAGATGCAGGCGTCAGCATGGTGGCAGGGTTTTGTGAGGGCAGCTGGTGGGGCCCGGGTCTGAGGCCGTGGTTATCAGATGGAATGACCGCCAAGCCGTCGGAACCGGCATCTAGCAGTGGTAGTTTGTATTTGGAGATTTGCGCGATTATACGCCGAGGAGAATTACACTCGGAGTTGCTAGACATTGATAGGGGTAGCGGTCAGTTGCTGGTGGCGCCATGAACGGCAGCTGGGCCATCATGATCAGGAGATAGTGAGTAGGAGAAAATTAGCCGATCAGCGATTACTTTCTGCCATGTACCCCTTGTGTCGGAAAAAGCAGGGCCAGGCCGGGAACGACAAGACCAGACCGGCTTCGGCGATGCGATCGAGTGGGCGCCCGCACAAGCGTCATTCGGCACCAGTGCAAGTCCTGGTCTGGTCATCTCAGCCCTTGGAGGCGGCGTCGTTGATCGGCAGTAGCAGGCAGGGAAAAGCGGCCGGGCGCGGAGGGCAGATGGGCTCGTCACCACCATTCTTCTCCCTCATGCGCATACCTTCACCCACCGCCAGACTTTACCTTACACTACGTCCCACTCACTCGCGTACGATCGCATTGTCCGTCCTGGGATCTAGTACGCGGCCATCGCTTGCGCGGACTCGTTTGTCAGCATTTGGTCAAGGTGAGTGTTGAGTGTGTGTGTGATGCCACCATCTGATAAGCACAAATTCCGCGGTGCGTGGAAAAAGCATCAGATAACCCTTCGCTCCCCCACATTGTCCTCACGTCCGTGTCCCGCAGCTTAGCAAGCCAGCCGAGGATGCGCGTCCTCACTGACTGACAGTAGCTGCTGCTCAGATTGGACATGATTTCGCAGGTATGAGTAACATGTTGCTAATAACAATGGTTCGCGCTAAGCAGTCCCCGTTGTCAACTCCCCGATTCCCACGCCGCTCCTTCGTCTTTCCTCTCCACCACGCCGACACATGGCTTCCTCGACATCCACCATGGCAAGCCCCATACCACACACATCTACCTCACACCCTGAAGATCCTATACCCTCAGAACCTAGGGACATCCCTCAATTGTCACTGCGGCCGGAGCAGTCGCAGTCGGAGCCCGAACATATCTCGCCAAAATCCTCGGGCGACGCCACAGCATGGACAAACAGCAGCGACGATTCAGAGGCTCCCATGACGCCAATCACCGAGCCCGACCAGGCCGTCGACGAGGTCATCGACAAGCTGCAGGAGCTGCCCGCCGCTTCGGTTAACCTGGCGGAGCAGTCACGGCCTCGGCGGGCATCCACGACGTTAATTTCGGACAACCCAAACGACATCAGACGGATACTGGGCGAGGGAGAGACAGCCACCAAGCTCATCAGCCAGTGCTGTGGTGGAGGATGCTGTCTTCTCAAGACACTGGCTCCTGATTCCTTGTCGCCTAACTTCGTCCCCGTCATCATTCCAGACAACCATGCCTTCCGCACTCTCAATCTCAAATTGGGTCCCCTCGCCCTCGACAGTCAACTCACAGACACAATGCCGCTCCCGCCCGTCAATATGGCCTTTGATCCTCTGCCATCCAAGGACATCAAGTATGTCTCCGAGGTACACAAGATGCCACCCAAATACGTCCAACCACACCCGCCGTATGAAGTCTACTCGGCTCCGCTATACCACGCACGCGAGCTGACCAAGCCGGGCGCTGAGAAGCGCACAATCCACTTTGATATCGATGTGACCGACTACCCAGATGAGGGAGGAGTTGACTTCAAGGTTGGTGGTGCTGTCGGTATCTGCCCACCCAATTCCCAGGAAATGGTTGACGAGATATTTGACATTCTTTGCATTCCCAAGTTTGTTCGGGAGAAGCCAGTCACACTCAAGACCTTTTCAGGAAGATGGCCAACCATCTGGGGAGAAGACCAGCCACGCGAACTCGTTACAACTCGCCGCGAGCTCCTGACCTGGTGTACGGATATCCAGTCAAATCCCCCAACCAAGAACCTCCTCCGCGTCATGGCCGAGTACGCTGAGGCACCAAACGAGAAGAAGATCTTGACCTACCTCTGCTCTGCCCAAGGACAGGCTGCTTTCTGTGATTTGCGCACCAGTTCTCACTTTACTGTTGCGCAGCTTCTCAGTGCATTCCCTTCGTCCAAGCCACCGCTACCGCACCTTCTTTCCGTCCTCACCCAATTGATGCCACGTTTCTACTCGCTCTCAAACGACCCCCACATTTCTTCAGCTCGTCCCGGCCTTCCAGGAACTCGTCGCCTCATCGAAATGGCCGTCACTGTTCACGAAACACCTGATTGGCACGCTGAGGGCGCTGTCCGCACTGGCGTTGGCAGTGGTTTCATGGAACGCCTGGCCCATACCTTTATCACAACTGAGAATGAAGGCGTCGACCCTCGTAGCATCCTTGATCTCCGCGTCCCCATGTTCCGTGGTCTCATGGCAAACCCACTTTCGAAGCAGTTTGGTGGAGAAGGACCCATGGTTCTTATTGGTGCCGGTGTTGGCATGGCTCCCTTCCGAGGTTTCATTCTGAATAGGCTCAAGAACGCCAACTGCGCTAACAAGATCTGGCTCATCCAAGGTGTGCGAGACTCGATGCTTGACGAATTGTATTCTGGCGAACTGGGCGACCACGAACGCGAAATCAAGAAAGTCGTTCAGAGCCGAAAGGTCAAATCCGGGGGCTCCAACGAAGTCAAATATGTTCAGGACGAGGTCAAGGTGCAAGCCGATATTGTGTGGTTCGTTATCAACGCGCTCGACGGACGCATCTTCGTCTGTGGCTCTAGCAAGGGCATGGGCGAAGGCGTCGAAGCCTCGCTGATTGATGTCGCAATGCAGAAGGGCCGCTTGAGTGAGGCACAAGCAAAGGAGTTCTGGGCCAAGAAGAAGGAAGACGGCCAGTACATTGCTGTAAGTTTGGCTACTCATAAATCAGACATAACAGATACTAACCTGCACATAGGAAACCTGGTAAATTTTCTCATCTTATGCATCATTTATCAAAAGCACACGACTTTCGTCTCAAAAATGCATGCAAACTTCAATCAATTCAACATCGCCACGGCGTTTATTCAAAAGGGCGTCATATAGAAAGGAAGTAGGCAGCCATAAACTTTCTCTGTGCGCATCATTAGCGGATGCCGGCTGACCACGCCTGGGCTGTCTTTTTGGGTCGGAGCGTTTGGTTTTTATTAGAGGGATTTGTCTGCAAGAGCACGGCGTTAATTCAGGTCAGGTTGGGACCTTTTTCAAAGTATCTCAAAGTCCAAGTCATCATTATATTAAAGAGGTCCAATAGTAACGTAGCTGAAGGAATTTAACATTCAACACTTTGTGTCTTTGATCTGAGTTGTCAGTCTACTCCAAATCGTGAGGATACCCAGTTCTATCGTCGCCCTACTTGCACTCACTATCCAAGATTCGGCCAGCCTATGATCAAGCAAAGTCAGCAAACACCCAAACCAAACATTTTGAAGACTGAAAATATCGAGGAAGACTCACTCCAAACAGTCCTCTCCCTATTCACCCCTGTAACCCTAACCTTATCCCCAACCCTCCATACCACCTCTTCCTTCTCTTCCCTCCCCTTTCCACCACCAACCCAAAACCCATACCTTCCAAACACCGGACTCCACCTCGCGCCCTGGTCCACCCTCCGATCCCCCTGTAACCGCTTCAACACCTCGCCCTTGACGCCCGTCCCCGGTTTCCCCGTCGCATAATCAATATTGATACTCTTGCACCTCACACAATTATGCAACAGCGCCACTTCTGTCTGCGCCTTCTCACTCTCGATCTGGATGCGCGACCAATAATCCTCATCCCACGCCTCCTTGGCTCCGGAAAGAAGGATATTCGGACGGAATTTTGTGATATCCATTTCCGAAGCGATGCGTGAGGAGACGGAGGAGAGGGAAGCGGACGATGTGATGAGGTAAGGGGCGCAGTCTGTAAAAGTGAGGGATTGGGCGATTTGCGGGGCCGATGCAGAAGAAGAAGAGGTGGTAGGGGAAGAAGAAGAAGAAGTGAGGTTGCTGAAGCGTGGGGAGCGCCGGCTCGAGCCGAGATAGACGAGTTCGACGGGGAACCCGAAGCAGGATGTGAACCACGTGTTGTAAGGGTCGGGCATGCGGTAGGCGGTTGCGGGACTACCGTGGAGGGAGATTTCGAGGGTTTGGAGCAAGGTGGTTGGGGGGTTGAGGGGGATGGTGAGGCTGGATTGGTTGGGGGTGGCGCCGTGGGCTAGGTAGTGGATTGTGAGGGTGGAGTCGGTGCTGCTGTTGCTGTGGGCATTGGAGGTTGCTGAAGGTGGTGACGGGGAGATTTCTTGGAGGAATTGCGTCATTTGGGGGTAGGATGCTACGGCCATGTTTTTGTAGCCTGTGGGTGTTTTTTCGAGGAGCATGAAGGTGCCTGGGGTTTTGGTTAGTTGGGTTGCTTGCATTGATGCTCATGGAATATGAATGGCAGTAAAAGAATGATACTAGATACTGGTTCTGGAATCTTGGGTAGAGTGACGTAGAAAGAAAGAGGCGGATTTACGGTCGTGTACAAAGCCATGTGGTGTTGCAATTGCAGAAGCTAGTTTGATTGCTCGTAGCGATTTAATCGGGTACACGTAGATCTGTTGAGATTGGTTGTTAGCAACTAAAACTCATTTTTAACACTCAATTCAGACATGAACAACATGAATCAACAGCAGATTCAGAGTGTACGTACCTCTGATATCTCCATCTCTAGTATCGCTCCTACTGCGGCTCGTGACGGACTAGATCGGCCGAGGAAATAATAGCACACCAGTATAACTGGTGTGACGTAAACCGCAGCCAGGAGCCATGTTGGTTGTGACATCTTTGGAAGTATTCTCTTTAATTGTTCCAGCACACAGTGAATTTAAGCAGATGTAAGAATATTAATGATGCCACACTGTAGGCCGAGGTGTAGATGGGGTTCCCCTACCCCACGTATGTATGTACATAAGCACGTCCTTCCGAGACGCTAAAGGGAAAATGGACTATTTTCGGGCATGTCTTTCCGGCTATATGTCATGTTACAGCCATCCACATGCTTCCACACATATCTTCCAATTTTGAGAATGTAAACAGTTTCCATGAAATCTTTACAACAGTAGTTTGTATTTATGATCTTAGAACATCAAACCCTTAAACCCGCTTTCCAAAGACTCTAAATCTCTTTACTCCGCCATCAGGGATAATCACCAGCTTAGCATGCGTGTATCCCTTGCCCGCTACTTCCTTCAACTCAGCCTTGTATACATGTTCTGTATCTGGGCCTGACTTCTGCGGGGCCAGAACTTCTGTCCATCTCGCATCGTCATGACTGGGGTCTTTGTCAAAAGCACCTGCGAATACCTGCACCTTTTGTGGGAAATTGCCTCTGAAATGCGCGGTGTCGATAACAATGTGATCAATCTCGCCCTTTGCTCCAAGTCTTATAATCGTCCAATCAACATGCTCACCACGTGTGCGCTTCGTTTCCCAGCCATCGCCCATATCCTTTCCGCGGCCAGGAAGGAGCAGGTTGTCTTTTGTACCGAAATGCTGGTCAGAGCAAGACGTTGCAACGCCACCCATGACTGTTGCAGAGAGCTCAAAGACAGCATCTGCTGACTGAGGAAAGACTGGAACAGCAACACCGTACAGGCGGAAACGCGCAATGCCTCCATCTGGGTACATGAGCAACCGAACATGAGTGTATGCCTTTTCAGTAATATTGGGAAGCAGCCATCCATGCCGTTGGCTAGGTCCGCACTCCTGCTTTGACAATATGGTCTCCCAGCCTGCATAGCTTGGCTTCTTAACCTCTTCTTCATCCTTCTCATCACTGACAAAAGTGCCTTCGACCGCAATTTCTGGAGCGTGGTTGCCGTTGAAATGGGCCGTGTCAATCTCGATACCCGCTACTTTTCCGCTGGCGGTACCCAGTCTCAAGACTACCCAGTCTGCGGGCTCTGTGTTGTGGCGGCGCGTTTCCCAACCATCGTACCAGGCTCCGGTATGGACGAAGACACCCGGTTTACGGATTGGTGGAGTTGGCGTTATCAGATTTTCTGCAGCAGCAAAGTATTCGTCGCTGAAGGACAGCACCTTTGAGCCGAGAGGTGCAGAGATGAGGTCTAAACAGTGTCAAAAAATACAAGAAGAGAATATATTCCAAATATATCATACCTGTGTACTTTGACTTGAATGTTGAATCGATTTCCTCAATTGGGATTGAACGGGCCATGGTGTAGACTTTGACAATTTATCAGAAGGTATTTGAGAAGATTCAAAGCTAGGATTTGGATTAATTGACAAAAAGAATGAGGAATCGACCGCTGTTGGAAAGATGTATGAGACCAACACGGAACTGTGGCGGGGTGGTGGGGTAGCTTAGACCCTGTCGAACAACGCTTACTACCTATCGGAGGCCGCCGACCATGGATATTCAAGGGCCGATGGCGGAGTTAAGCAGATAGCCGGCATCACTATTTTCAATCGAGTAATAATTTGGTACTAGACCAATCGCCGCCATACCTTCTGTAAATTTTTAGATGATCATAAATTGGGAAACTAGAACAGAAGCATCTAACCCAGAGTACTATAGTCTGATGGGTTTCAAGCGCACAAAGGTTATCAGCCGGTAAAACCAGGTCATGCGAGTTGAATATTGACATCTTCGCATTTGCTGTCAACAGCACTAGCCATGTTTGAGAAGAAGCTATCGGTCTCTTGATGCTATAATGATATCCAATTGGCCCGGCTTATTTTACATCTCATGCCTTCAACCCAATCAGCCACCAGGTCGCATTTACGAGCGTCTGTGGAGTATGCAACAACAGGGGAAGTGGCTTTCAACCGAGCGGATATTCGTTGAAACGCGGATGCTTCGCTCATAACCGAGCTAGTCGCGGTTGATATTTCTCTACTGGGGACCGGCTCTTGCCATGGATACGACAGTCATGGCAGTGGGTGCTAGGCACGACGTGGCTTGAAGGAATTCGGGTCTCCAACCAAACCAGGCGGAATGGAGGCAACTAGCCCGTACCGTAATCAGTAAGGATTTGCAACTCTATCAACTTTCTCTACCTTCACCCAAAGCTTGGATCATTCCATGATGACTCTGAATAATATGAGCTGCCGTTTTTGTTCATGCCGCCACTTAGATCTAGTTTGGCCATGAACTCCGGAGGTACAGTGGGAATGTATTTCCGTTCCCTTTCCTTGTTGACGCCGCCGAAGCCGGCGCCGTAGCTGATCAGCATATCTGTCGATGTTGGTAACGAGAACGGTAGCATATACGAAGGATCCAGAAGAAGCTCGTCGGGAAGTTCGTCATGCTCTTCCTCATCAGACATTCGTGAGGGCGCAGGCGAGGGCTCGATTGGTCTCTCAGCAGTCGGTCTGACTGGTGTGGTCGGTGCAGAGTCAGGATTCGGTGATTTCGTCTTTGCAGCTTTTCGATCGGCTGCGGCCTTTTGTAGGTGGACAATGTATTTTGATGCGCTTTTTGGGAGACCTTTTTCGCCGACTTCTGGTCTGTAGTATTTTGCGGTATGCAATAGCTGTTGAGGTGATAGGCGCGTCAACTGCTGCAATGTTCCTACAAGCGACTCTAAATCCTCGCCAAGTGATGAGAAACATTGTAGCCATTGAAGTAGTTGAATTAAAGGCTCGAGGTGCCGCTTGGCAGCATCTGCAGTGTTCTCCCCAGTGGAGGTCATGGAGCCGTTCTCGTAGTGCTCTGGCTGCCGGTTGTTTGATCGCGCCCAATCTTCTAGTGTCGAGACGTTCATGCGTATTTGCATAGCCTTTGTCCGAGCTAGGTATTTGCGATTGGACATTATGCGGTTGAAAACTTCGGCAGAAATCCAGTATATCAGCTGCGATAGCACCTGGGCTGTAATGACGGAATGGACGTCGTAAAGATCAAGAACAAACAAAGTAGATGCAAGAAGGGAAGTAATGTTTCGCGGTGAGGGCTGCGCTCGACGCTTCGGGGACGGCGGCCGGAAGCGTTTCTCAAGTGGCTCCACGGGTTTCGCCTTTGGCTTTGAACGAAATATTTTCCATTCGTGCTGGAAATGCACATCTTCAAATCCAGGCATCGGCTCGTGGTCCAGCATTGCTTGGTCGAGATTCTTGTCCATTCTCCGCTCTGCATCACGAATAATCAAGATGAAGATTTCGTTGATCAGTTCCGCCATTTGCAGTTGAAAGTTGTTGGTGGCGCACATCAATCCGCCATCTTTTTTGAGATAATGCAAAAGCAAAGTAGCATTCGACATCCAGAACGCTAGCACGGTCATATCCCACTGATGCTTTTCAACCACGTCATTAATCTTGTTCATGGCAGATACGAGTAATGTTTCAAGGAGTTCGGGATTGGCATGATAGTGTGCATACCGGGCACTGAGGAAGAGTATGTTTGCGGGTACCGGCTTTTGCGATGGGGAGCGTTGCGGTGTCATGTTGGTGATGATGATGTCGAGGATGCGTTCGAGCTCGTTTTCTTGGAAGACAAACATTTGATCATTGAGGCACCTATCCCATATAAACTCTTGGGCTTCTTCTTCTGGCTCTTCAGGAGACTATAGCGGTTAGCGGTGCGTTCACGCTGGGAGCCTTCGTCCATACCTCTGGCTGCTCGTCCAAGCCGAGATTGCCAATATCCACTTCCAGGTTGAACGCGCTTTCCATCATCATGCGTCGCTTCATGTCATTCTCCTGCATCTCCTGCTCAAAGCGATCTTGCGAGAAGCCAGAGCTGTAAAAGTCATCTCCAACACCCACATTGCCAATGGCATATCCACTCTCGTGCAGGTACTCGGAAAGCTCCGTGTTGGGTTCGACAAAATCGAATGCAGTCCTCCCACCCGAAGACTTGACGTCCGTGGATGCCCCGTGCTCTAGGAGGAGTTTAACGATATCCTTGTGTCGGTTCGTCATGGCCCACATGAGGGGTGTCCAGCGGTTCCTGTCCTGTATGTCAACAGTAGCGCCTTGGTCGAGTAGGGTTGCAGCGACATCCTCGTGGCCAAAGCAGCTTGCGTAGACTAGGGGCGGTGTGCCCTCGGCGTCGACTCCATTGATGTCGATGTATTCCCGTGCCTTGCCGTCGAGTAACCGCTTCACCCTCTCGAGTTCGCCGTTGGAGGCAGCCAAGGTGAAGAGGCCTTGCAGAGCTTCCCTCTTCTCTTCGTGCGACAACTTGTCGTCAGCGACCACTTTTGCTTCATCGCCTGCGTTGTCGTTTTTTAGGCGTGCCTGGTGAGCGAGCATCTGTACCAGACGGCTATCGCTGTCCTCGAGCTGCTGCATGTCCTCATCTCCAAAAGTCGGGTCGTCGAGCGAGAGGTTGAAGCTGAGTGGGCGGGCGGGCATGGGCGTGGTGAGGAATTGCGACTGGCCTACGTGGTGTTAGCGGCCCCTTTTGCAGCATGGCTCCTGCCGGATGCAGCAGCGCCTACCTTGCCATGCATCGTATATCTCGGTCTCCTCGTTCATGATGTGGACGGGTCTCCTGTCATTGAGCGAAGT